GCCGCCTCAAAAATACAGTATTAGAGGGGAGAGAATGTGTGTGTCGAGTCTAATTCTTTTCTCTATTTTCCAGAGAGATGCTTTTTCCATTAAGCTGAAGGAAGCAGCCCTGGCAGCCCCATTTACAGCTGCCCAGCTCCGCCCCTGCTATAAGCAGCTCCCACATCACCCTGCAGAAACAAGAAATTAACATCAGCATGACACTTTTTCATTAGCCTGTCTCTCACTTTTATTAGAATTATGCTACACCCCGATCTTTCCACCCCTCCGGCTTCCTCGGTGGTTGCACCCCCTCTCCTTTTACTGTGGTCTCATTTTTGCGTGCATGTCAGAGAAAGCCTTACTTTGAGCATATGTTGAGAATTGCACCAGGGCGTCGTGATTGAAGCCTGTTAAAACCGGCGTAATTGACGTAAAATATGACATATTGTCGCAGACGGAGACGAATCTGGCAGTATGTTTGATTAATGGAGAAGTGTCTTGCACTCTCTCTCTCTTTCTCTGACTAACACACACACACACACACACGGCTGATTTTATGAAAAATGAATTCCGCAATGCCATGTCGTCCCCGACAAGCGAGCAGGCCGCAGACGGAAAGCAGCTATTAGCTAGAATCATTATCAATAGTGATATTTTCAAACTCCATTACGGCAATCAGGCCGCGAATTTATTCAGTGCATTTAGTTCATTTGGCCATAATTGATAAATAATCAAAATTTATCAATGTACTCGCTCTACGTTTTCACTAACAATCAAGCAAAAGTGGCCCATTTGCCACCTGACTTGGTCCAAATTAGGGACTAAATTGATGATCAATTAATCCTAGTAGGGGCAGTACAGTGTCTTTGTGAGTGTGTGCAAGTGATGCCATTAAAAGACAGATTAGCGTAGCGATCAGGAAGTAGCTGATGCAGTTTAGCGGCTAACAAGAATGCAGCTTTTCTGAGATTTACAGTAGATAATCATTAAGGAAGAGGAAAAAGACGAGAATAGGGAAGGATGTGTTTACAGTAGGATACAGTAGAATATATAGGTGTTTGATTATGGGTTGAAATTTTGTAGGGAATCTTAAAAAGGTGTGTTAACATCTTGCATTTGTTTGTGTTTTACCATTTCATGTTGTTTCAATTAAGTAGTGTTCAAAAATGTAGGGTTGTTAAGATTTAAGATTAATATTTTATGCTCAAAGCAGCATTTTTTTTTTATAAAAAATGCTGTAAAAATAGTACTGTTGTAAAATATTGCGTTTTAAAATAACTTTTCTTTTGGAATAAACTGGAATAAATGCAATTTATTCTTTTGATGTAAAGCTGAATTTTCAGCATAACTCCAGTCTTCATTGTCACATGATCCTTCAGAAACCATTCTAATATGCTGATTTGCTGCTCAAGAAACATTTCTTATTTCTTATTTTCAGTGTTGAAAACAGCTGTGCTGCTTAATATTTTAGCAGAAACAGGTAAAAAAAAAATTCCCCAGGATGAAAAGAAAATTTAAAAGAATAGCACTTATTTGAAATAGAAACATTATAAATGTCTTTACTGTCACTTTTGATCGGTTTAATGCATCCTTGCTTTGATAAAAGTATTAATTTCTTTAGAGTCTTACTGACCCCAAACTTTTAAACAGTGTATTTTCCTTAATTTACACAACATTGTCTACATCTTAGTTGTCATCTTTGTTGTATTATGTATATATCAACCTTATTAAACTATAATTGCATTGTTTTTATTTATGTAAAATGCAGTAAAAAAAGAAAGATTAGTAATGTGAAACTTCAAGACATATGAAGTTGGTTCTCTGATTTTGGGCCCTTAAAAGTGGTGTATTTGTCTTTTGAGAGATCTGCAAGTTAGCTATTTGTTATTAGTTATTTGACTTCATGGCAGTAAATTCTTGACAGCATCAGTTAGACATAAGTATTGATTTTTTTTTATTTTTT